GGCTCTAACAGTAAGGGTAATTCAAGGAAGAAAATGGCCAGAAAAAAAGAACTACTCCAAAAGTGTTGGGAGTACAATGCTAGATTCCAAGGAGAAATTAAGTCATACTCAGACTATCTAGAAGTAAATCATATTCCCTGAGAAAGTCTCAGCATCCTAGGAGCCTTACTGAGGGACTAGAATGCCAAAAAAATACAACTGTACCTTGGGCCTCTAGTTTCTTTAGAAGGCGGCTGTCTGTCTTATTTAATAGCTCAGTGATTTTGACCTTGGGTGGCCGACCTCGGCCCCGTTTTACTTTGGGGACCTCTTTGGTCTTGGCCTTCTCAGTGTTTCGTGGTCGACCCCGTTTACCAGTAATTGCCTGAATCCTGGATGGGATTTCCTCTGCTGAGAGTTGCACCCACTGCACACCCTAATGTAATGAAGAAAACAGTTACAATGGTAGGAAGTCAATGAAGGCCCCTAGGCCTCAGAAACATGTCCCCAAACCTCCAAACCCACAAGAGGAAGTTACAGCTTATCCACCAACCCTTTCTCTGGGACAAATGCTTAATTAACCCTTGGTTCTGCACCTCTGGTGTGTCTCTCTCTTCAAAGAAATCTCCAACAGGCATTCGAGGACTGAAGCTGAAGTGTTCACGGCGAACATTGTGTACTACATTGCGGCTAAGGTACTAAGAAGAGGAAATAAAGTGACATTAATAAAGATAACTGCTCTACCATGTCTTTGGCCAATAATCAGAATCATAAGCCTTAGAGTGAACACTGCCAGTCAGCCACTGAGCTTTAATAGCAGTTTGTGCTTCACTATAAAACTGCATTACCTTGATCACTTCTGGGAACTGTTTCATCCTTTTCCCACAGGGGCCATAATACCAGGTCTCCCCTTGCCACCGGTGGGTGCCCTTCTTGATGCGCACCTCTCTCCGCCACCTGTCAGAGAAGCACATGGGCCCTACCACCAGGTCACACTCCTACCCATTCCCATGTCGCCCAGGAGCCAAGTCCACTGAGCAGATGTCCCTCCCCATATGTGTCCCACTAATCTCCATATGATAAAAAGAGGGTGGGGAAGGAAACTAAACAAAAAAATCTGCTGATTCCAACAAATGATTTTGTATGACAGGGTATAGTTAGCAATTAGGTATTCTGAGCAACAGACCAATTCTTCTCTCTTACTCAAAATTTTAAGCAGTATTTATACCCAAATGACAACCCCCTCACCCCCAGTCACCCAGACGAGTGACAATGGGAAATATTCAAGAAGGCAATCCTATAAAGTCCTTGGTATCAGCTGACTTGCTCATTTTAATCACGTTCCAATCCTGTCCTTATTCCTCCAAGAGCACAACACACAGCCTCCTACTCCAAATCATTGGTACTATACCACTCTCCAATCATTGCTATCCCTTTATACAAATAGGACAAAAAATTGAGTTTGGATGTTTGGGTCCTAGCTAGGTTTAGAAATACTAATAATTGGAGCCTCTTGAATAAAACTGAGTTATCAAAAAATGGAGGAAAAACTATGAAGGGAACCAAATCCCAAGGGAAAAAAGGACAGTCTAAGAACTGCATTCCAAAAACATTATCATCATCAGATAACTATCCCTTTATTCACTTTGTCTAATCTATTCCTCCCCTACTTCACCCTAGGAAAGGAACACTCTTCTTCCTAGGGCCAAGCATTAAACTCATCAAGGTCAATGTGGTAACAAACTTGAGCATTTACCCATGCTGGAGGGGAAGACGAACTTCTTCTGGGGTAGCAATACGTCTCCTTAGGACATCACCTTGGGAGAAAGGCACAGAATACCCAAGTTAACAGTTTAAGCAAAATATTGAAATAACAAGCCAGTAGGAAATAGTTAAATGTAACTTGGCATAGTCAGAAGTAAAACAGAATCTGGACACTCACCACTACTGGCAGTGATTCCTTCTCCAGTGTTCTCTTCCAGGTCACCAGTGGTTTCAGGAAAGCTGCTGACATTTTTATTTGTTGGGGAGGTTGTTGGGCACGTAGCTACTGGGGAAGCTGCAGGGGAGGTTTTTGAGGAGGTCACTGGGGAGGCTGTCAGAGAGGCCTCTGAGAAGACGGTTGGAAGAGCTGTTGAGGAAGGTGGAGACATTGTTGGAAAGGCTGCTGGAGAAGCTGCTGCGGAGATGTCTGGAGAGGCTGCTGGAGAAACAGCCAACGAGATTTCTGTGGACACAGATGGTGACTCTGCTGGTGAAGTTGCTGGGTGCAGATGAATGGTGGATGGCTGGTCAGGGGCGAGCTGAGTCAGGGATCCCGGGAAGTTAGTTGCCTGAGTCTCCATTTCTTCCTGTTCTGTATCACTACCATTATTCAAATCAAAGCTGTTATCTGGAATACAAAGGGAGTGAGTGAAGAAAAACAAGGTGTCACTAAAAAAAAACAACAAAAAACCACATACACACACAGAAAAAAAGACAGAACTTATTAAATGTGGACTAAGCTAAATAGGATTAGTTCAATGTTGGGAAGAAAGAAAGAAATAACTGCTACATCCCTCTGCAGCTTTTCATGAAAGTGTAAAGCATTTGCTTTCCTAAAGGTTAAAGGATAAAAGAACAAATATCTTTTTATCAGTCAGTAAGACTTCTGGCCTTTTTTCCTGCATATTCTGAATTTTACAACTTTCTGAGCACAGGGCAGAGGCCAGAGTACAGGCTATTGCCATGTTATCAACTTCAATCTTGCTTTGTCATTTTAAGTAAACTTGTCCTCAATTAAAAACAAATTCTCCCTCACAATTATCTTACTACTTGTTTTGTCCAGTTTTGAAGAGTGAAATGATTTCCAGCACTAAAATGAGACTACATAAAACCTATTCAAACCGGCTCTGATTTATCTACAAATTCTTAAGAGACAGCTAGAAATCAATTTCATTCATAGCCTTGGGAATGCCTATACAGTGACTTGTGCCTTTTGTAGTGACACTCTTTACCACATCATGTTTCTCTTAGCTCCCAGGAAGCTGCTCTCCCAAAATTTCCTACCCCTGAAGCCCTAAATATGGTACTTATCCTCAACTTATTCTACATCAAATGCTACTTTCTTTGTCCTCCATCTCCTCACTTACCTTGCAGGACAGGACCTAAGACAGGTGGAGATGTTGGGCTAGCAAAGATAGAAGCTGAAGTCTGACTATCATCTGTCAGGAGACTGAAGGCAGTGTTGTTATTGAGTGAAGGGCAATCAAGGGCAGAAATCACAGGGCTGTCCCCTAGAGGCAGCTTGTCCTCTTCACCCATCAGTTCTGTATCATCTATACCATAGAGTTCTCCACTCACTGGCTCTGTACAAGAGATAGAGGGGACAAATCAAATATTAAGGGAAAATCAGAAAGAAGATTCCTTTAAGAAATAGTGATCTGAAAACATCAGTGTGAAAATTCTTTTCAATCTTAAATTAAGAGAAAATTAATAGCCCTCTCTACTAAGAGTAAAAAGACTACAGGGACCATTAAAGCTTGAGGTAGAAAATAAAGAAATAAGTACTGATCTTATATAACTGAGAGACCAATGCAACATTCTAGAATCATAGAAGACTTTTCTTATACTTCATAGGGGATAAAGGTCATGTAACTATTCACTGGTAAATGTTGGTGTTTTTTGTTTGTTTGTTTGTTTTTCCGGTTAGTGAGAACTCAAATAACCCAACTATGTGGTAATAAATCTCTATCCAGTGAATTATTACAATCTAGGGCTGTTGGCCAAAAGGAACATTGGGAGGGAACCTAGGAAAGGAACCAATTCAGCTCAGAGTGCAGCTGGCCCAAGCAGTTTAGTAGTATGTAAATGGACTCTACCACAGGAATATCAGAAGGTCCCAATGCCCCAGAATTCCTTTTCCTGGTTTGCTATCTCTTCCAGGTACTACACAAATATCCTATTTTTTAAATATATATACATAAGAGGTAACTAATGGTTGCCGTGATGCTGAACTGTGATGGTGATGTGCCAATCGTGGTAACGGGTACCCATGGTGGACAGTGTTGGCTGGAGCTTCCCGACTAAAACAAGCCTGGAAGCAGGAGCGGCATCCACTTCCGAAATGGCTTGCCTCCGGAAATTTTATGTACAAACAGTGCTCAGGCCATTCATTCATAGGGTTGCTGAGTCGTCTACGACTCGATGGCACCAAACAACAACAATATATAAGCAGAAGAAATCCAGCCTCCAAGTTTACCTGATGCCAGAGAATTAAAAGGCTCCAAAGAATCCTCACTGAGGATTGGAGTGTCTTCCAGTTGATCAGGAAGTTGTGAAGGATCATCTAAGCAGCTCACTGAAGGATCAGGAACCAGGACTGAGACTTCTTGGTGCAATGATTCTACAGAAGTGATGGATCCATTATAACCACACATCTTCAGTTCTAGAAAATCCCAGAGCAGGGCAAAAGTCAGTATCAGTGCCTTCAATTGGTTCATGAAGCTCTAGTGGGTAGTCCATCTTTGCTAGAGGGATGTTCATTCAGCCAACATTTCCTGCTGCCAGGGTACCAGTTCTATGCTAGGTACTGATTGTAACAATATACAAATGAGCAGAGATGCACTAATAAAATACTACAGTGCGTGAAAAGAGGGCGAAAAGAGAGTGTGGTCTCAGGTAAGAACCCCATTATGTTCTCAGATAACTCCTCCAATCCAGTAGGAAGAAATAATAAACAAAAAATATGCTGTGATTTTATAAGGTAGTTACCCTTATACTTGGAATCAACTGCACGGTAAGCTTTTTGAGGGGAAAGATGAGTGGCACTGCCACCATATGTAACAATGCTAACAACAGCAAAAAGAAATTGGGAGTAGACAGGCAATGGTGTTCCCTACCTGGTTCCTTCCCTCTTTCACATGACAGTCACTACTAGGGCTCAGCCCAATTTAGCAGCCAGTCTGACCCTGCAGTAATCACTCAAAACTGCCTCAGTGCCCACTGCTAATATTCCAACCCCCGTCTATATTTTGGAAGAAGCCCTTCCTTCTTGATGCAGGGTGTCTGTTGGGGCTGTTTCAGGCTCGCCCACCTGCCCTCTCCAGGCCAGCAGCTCTGCATGAGCTTGAAATAATTTGCACTCCCACTCGCGAGCTGGTGCTGCTGCCACAAAAACACCAGCCACTTGGCTCTGCTAATCACCAACATGCAAATCAGCCTCCACTGCAGAGAGCTGGAAAGACAAGTTTTCCTCACCTCAAAAAGCCACTGCTCCCCCACAGCCCCATTTTCCCTTTCCCCACCCAGCTCACAAAACCCAGTTATACCTGGTTGCTCTTCTTCCAGCTCCAAGCTGCCTACCAAGCCGGTGCCATTCTCTGTCACCACAGAAGTCAACTCTTTTTCTCCTGTCTCATCATTATGGATACCACTGCCTACCTCCTGCGAAGGTGCAAAGGTTTGGATGGTGGATCCCAACATAGGAGAAGACTGTGGGGAGGTGAAAAAACTTGGGGGTCCATTAGGCAACACCTCAAAATTCTGGTCAGGAAAGGAATCATACAGTTCCTGTGAGTCAAAATTAAGCCCCATGGGACTCTGGGTACCATTGGCCCAGAACTCTTGGTTTCCAGCCCGTAGGTTAGTGTTGTGACTTGGTGATGAAGGTTGCCGGTTGCCCCCAAGGATGCCGTTGACTGGGTATTGTCCCCCAGAGAACTGGGAAAGAAGGGGTGGGTCCTTGAGGTTGCTGCCAGGATTGGCAGATGGGTATTGTGAGTAGTTCCAGAGACACTCATAGGCCACGTTGGGGTGATGGAGGTGTGAGGTGCTGGAGGAATGGGGAGCAGAGTTCAAAATCCCTGAAGTAGTAGTGTGAGATACAGTAGATAAGCCATTAACATTCACATCCCCATTCAAACCTGGCAGAAGAAAATAAAGTCAGTTACAGATATGTAGGCAAGTAATTCTACCATAAGAACCCCAAAGTAACAGTACTGACTAGGAAAAGAGAAGGTGAAGGGGAGGAGGATTCCCCATCTGCTAAATTCGGCTTTTCAGTCTCTAGGGAACACCAAACCCAAATGCTCCTGGATGCAAGCTTGGCAGCTATGCTGAAGCTACAGAATAGAGGGCTGAAAGTTATCCTGGCCTGTCATGGGAGCCACCAGTAAAGAGGGGGCTGTTGCTTATGCACAGGGCCTTTTTTATAAAAATAACGCTGTTTGCAGACTCCCTACAGTGACTTGCATTCTTCCCCACCCTTCCTCTCTAAGGGAATATGTCTTTTGAGAGGGCTTGATTGAGTTCTCCCATCCCTCCTTTTCCCTGGTGCCTGTTTGGCCCTGCCATGGCACCAGAAGGGACAGCCTCCACCTCACTGGCACATGCAGATCCAGCACTTTGTGCTGCGCTAAGAATAGAATTTGCAGTCACCACAGCGACAAGATCCCAACTCAGGAGGCTGGGTTTGGCCCCTCCCCATAGACATTGGAGGTCTAACTGCTTGGGGGTTGGGGGAAATCTTTGCATGACCAGTACTGCAGACTTCAGCTCTCAAAACCAATGACTACCTCTGGATTAAAGGAGAACAAAAGGAAAGGTACTAGAACACTAAAAAAGCTATGGGGGAAACACCAGTGAAATAAAGTTTCTATCGTTTCTATCTCTCTGCAACTCCCTTATAGGACAAGAGGGAGAAAGTGGTAAGTATAAGCCTGTGACAATATTTTTCTGCTGCAATGAGGGACACATGCAGGCTTCTTTCTGTTTCCAAGCATAAAGTGCCAGAAAACTAGGCAAGATTAAAGAGGTATTTGGCAGAGCCATGGTACAGAACAACTGTTAAGCCAAATCCAGAGAAAGATCTGATCCTGGTAGCAATGCATCCATGCAGAATTATAAATATTTCTCTTTAGGGAACTAGCTTAAGTACCAAAACCTTCCCTTGTCCCTACCTTCTTTCCTCAAGGACAGGAGGTAGCACAGGCATTTCTAGTGTCTGCCCTCTTCTCTTCTGAACAAACTAAAAGGCAAATACATCCCAATCATTCAAACCAACTTCTACCCCAATCCTAGCTTAATGAGGCTTCTCCAACCTCTGAAAACATATTCTCAGAGAGCTGGCACTTGATGTTTCTCTCACAGGTCTAACTTGGTTATCAGTAGCCACATGACCATGCTGCAGTAGCCAGAGAACAGAGGTGACAGAAAAGCAGGACAAGATGAAAAAGCCAGTACGTCTAACTCAAGACTAAAAATGTTACTTCTGTAAACCCCTAGAAATTGTTCTTAGAAGTATAATTTCTTTCCAACCACTGGAATTCAATAGATTCATTTCCTCTCTTCCCTCCTGATAGGAAAAAAGTAGTTCTGAGGTAGCTAGTAAGTAAGGGAATTAAATCTCCCATCAACCTGTTCTAAAGGAATGATGCCCATTCCCTCCCCAGCCCATGGCCCTCACACTCACTTTTCCCTTGCTGAGGGAAGTTCATGGGAGACCCGTTAGTGTAGAGGCCCTCCCCTGAAGAAGGAGAGGGTTTCAGTCCTGAGGCAGCAGGTGCAGAGGAAAGGCCAGTAAAGTTAAAATGATCATTTGCCTCCATTTCTGTAGGAGGAGAAAGAGGGGGAAAAAATACTGGTGATTAAACAAACTCATGTCATTTGGAATTTTCTAAAGAATAACCTCCATTCCTTCATCTACTTACCCTTCTCTACCTAAGTTTGGTGAGAAATCCAAGATACAAGTGGTGAGGGATTCCTCCTCCTATATTAAGTCACCCATCCCCCATCCCAGCTCATGTCTTCTAAACCAGATTACTTCTCTACATCAGGTAACAGAAGACATATATTTAACACTCTCTATCCTTTCATAATCCAGGAAATCAAAAAACGTATTGCGATGGCAAAGTGTGCTGTTAGGGGCCTCTCTAGGGTACTGAGGAGCAATGGTGTCTCTCTGGAGACTAAGGTGTGTCTGATACAGGCTATGGTCTTTGCAATAACTTGTTATGCATCACAGAGTTGGACAATGACTAAGGAGGATAGAAGGAGAATTGATGCCTTTGAGCTGTGGTGCTGGAGAAGAATACTGAATGTATCCTGGACTGCCAAGAAAACAAACAGATTCATTCTGGAGAGGGTTAAACCAGGCTGCTCCTTGGAGGCAAGGATTCTGAGGCTTCGTCTGACATACTTTGGACATGTCGTAAGGAGGGAGAGGTCCTTGGAGAAGGACATCATGCTTGGGAGGGTGGAGGGACGGTGCAGAAGGGGAAGACACTCTATGAGGTGGATTGATTCAGTGACTGGGGTAATCGGGATGGGTGTGTCAGAGGCAGTGAGACTGGCACAGGATAGAGCAGGGTTTAGGGCTGTTGTACATAGGGTCGCTATGAGCTGTAAGCGACTCAATGGCACATTAACAACAACAACATCCTTTAATACGGGAGCTCTGGTGGCTTAATGGTAAAGAGTTCCACTGCCAAACCAAACGCATGCAGTCTGAACCTACCAGCTGCTCCCTGAGAGAAAGATGAGCAATCACAATCTCTTCCCTAAGGCCTCTAAAAACCCACTGGAGGGTCAGCTGTGAGTTGTTTCCAACTTGCCAGTACACATTGTAACAACATCCTTTTCTAAAAATTCCCCCTTCAAATTAAGGGGTCACAAGAAAATTCTCAAAGCCTCTTTATGCCATGTAGCCATGGAGATGGATGTGTTGGCAGAAAAAGTCTATCTGATAAACACTATGACTTGTGTTATCTTGAGCTAAACAGCTAATCTATAGCCCTAGATATCTGAAGAAGAGAGTTCCCGGGAGCAAAACTCAAATAATCCAACAACACTTCTAATGTTTGCTCACAGGAAATAACATTCTTTCCAAGAGCAATTAAGAAAAATGTCAGAGATAGAAAAACCACTAAATATGAGACTGTCCCACAAAATATTATTCTGTATGTCTATTATAAGACTTCCTAATGTTTTTGGTTTTGTTCTGTTAAAGTTTACATGTAAACTTTCATGGTGAAAATAGCACTATAAAGATATTTATGTTTTTAAGGTTGTAGTGGCTCACTGAGTAGTATGGTTAAAAAGCTTTTATAATGTCCTAGTAAGAGGTAACATACTACTATCAAGCTTGACAGAACTGAAGCCCTTAATCAGAACAAATTTAACACTATAGAGCAAAGAAAAAAGAGCAGCAGAAGGCAAAATTTCTGGTAAAATCCAATGTAATAACCAGATACTTATAGGTACAGTTGTTGTTGTGTACTGAGTCAGAACCAATCCACAGCTGCCCCTTTCAGAGGCAGTTAATCTCTCCGGAAGAGACTGCCCATCCTTCTCCCGCAGAGCAGCTGGTGGCCTTGAACTGCTTGCCTTCAGGATTGCAGCATTTCTTGCCAGTAGGCCACCAGCGCTCCCTATACAGGTACTAATGCATACTGAATTGGTATGTTAAAAAACATGACTGTCTTGATACAGGAAAAGAAATTCCTTATGTTACTGTTTTTGAAGTTTTGGTTGTTTTCTTGGTTTTGTTTTTTTTTTAAGGTAGGAGAAGAATTCACATAGAAAGGTTTCTTCTCAATCACCTAAAAAGAGGCAAGCAGCACTTCTAGCTGAGATTTTAAATACTTAATTGCTGTAGAGTCAGAATCAACTCACAGCTGACTTGGGTTTTCAGATGCTATAATCTATCTACACAGTAGATTACCCATCTTTCTTCTAAAGACAATCTGAGTTAGCACTGCAACTCTTTACAGACTACACCACCTTTTTGGTGATTTGTTGGTTGTTTTAAAAAAGGCAATTTGTATCTTGATTTAAGGGAAAAAAGCTTTCTCCTATTTCTTATTTCACTCTAAAATAAGTAGCAGACCTAAATTTGCCATCAATGAAACCAGGTCTTTATAGAGAAGACTTCAAGGTCATTTAGGACATCTCTCTAGTTTATTTAGGGTCCCTCTACAACAGTAAAGGAGCTCCAATACAGTAGTACACTACAAGTTAGTTACACTACTAACCAAAAATTAGCAGTTCAGTCTCTTCCAGTAACAAGTCACAATGCTGGAAACCTGGTGGAAGGTTACCATGAGTTGGAATTAACTGGCAGTGAATTTGATTTCAAATCTCTAAAAGTTTCTATCACATGGCAAAGAGGACCTGCTCAGTGGTTCATTTCTGAAGTCTGTTTTAGATTCCTCTACCCCCACCCAGTTTTAAGTGCAGCCACATCTCCCCCCTTTGGTGGATCGCTCACTCTTCGAGTTTTCCCAGCTCTGTACACTCAACTATATTCTCCAACTCAATGATAGGCCGATAGTTCATTCTTCCATTCCATCTGAATCCATGAGGAAATGAGTGACCTTCTCCTCTCTGCTGTTCTGGGAAAGAGTAGCATTTCTTGTTTGAAACATTACATACTAATAAGATGGCTCATAAAAATCAGGTAAGTAAAGGGAATGAGAAGTTATCTGGTGCGTGAGGTCTATTTCCCAACCATTAGTTACTAAACGGTCATCAGGATCACAATCACTTTATTTGCAAGAGGCTTGCTAGGCATATAAAATACTCTTTGTGCTACACAGTGAGATCAGCACAATATACTGAGCTCCAGGTCAGAATTCCATCTGTACCATTTACTGGTTGTATGACCCTGAACAAAACATTTTAATGAACTTGTTCAACAATTTGTAAGTCACCCAATAAATGTTAACTATTACTACTGGACTGAGTAAAGGTGCTAAATTTTACAAAACACGCAAATCCAAAAAGTTTAATATAAACATAATGTAAAGATACTACCAATATAGAAAATTCTAATAATCTAAGCCACAATTCTTTCAAATTCAATTTGATTCTGGATTTTAAATATTACACAAATACAGGATCACAGTATGGAAATGTGAAGGAAATGTGAACTGCTCCTCACGGCAATAAAGCTGAGGTTTTTTCTTTGAATCTTACTATTCAAGGGACTTTTAACAATAAAATATGTCCTAGAAGAACTGTAAAAGCAAAGAACTAAGAACAACTATAAAAGCAAAGGAGACTGTTTCCCTTTGAATGAATACAACTTTGGCTAAACAAAAAATCCATTTTGAATCCCCTCAAGTAGCAGACAGCTCTCAAGTACAATTAAGCAAGCACCAGATCAAACCCAGTTGTATGAAAATGAAGCTCCTAGTGGAACTTGGATGCTCCTCATAGGCAAGCACTGGCATATACTTTAGGCATGTTTGCTGGAGGTGAACAGTCCTTGGAGAAGGACATCTGCTTGGAAAGGTGAAGGATCAGCTTAAGAAAGGAAAATTCTCAAGACTACCATAGTGATTGTACAATGGACTATGTTGGAGATGGTGAGGATGGCACATGATAGAGCAGGGTACATGTGTTGTTTATAGAGTCCCTGAGTAGTAGTCGACTAGAGGACACGTACAATGTTTCATATAAGAGTTAAGAGGTACGTCCTTTATGCTTGATGGTAAAGCCCTACCACAAGGTCATACAGACTGCTTTTCTCTCAGTCACAAGAGTTACTGCTCTGTGAGCCTGTGACATAGTTTTAACAGAAAAAGGTGGATAATGCACAAGGTGTTGAAACAAGTATTACAGATTTCAACACTTTTACAGGTATTCTGACCAATCTTAGTCCTCTAGCCCCTGAGGCTACCCTAAGACAGTAAAAACCCTCCAACTGGACTCTTTTTTTTTTTTTTTTTAATTTTTATTTTGTGTGCGTGTACCGTCAAATCAGATCTGACTGGTACAGGAGGATATTGCGCCTCCTTCTCCGGCAGAGCATCTGGTGGATTCGAACCGTGTTCCTCTGGGATTGCAGTGCAGCTTCTTGCCACTAGGCCACCAGAGCTCCCCTTCCAACTGGACTCTTAGGTAGTTTCAATATGAATTATGTAGCACTGTAGCTCCTTCTTCCCATACCTAAACCAAAACCAAATTCACTGCCAACCAATTAATCTTTACTTATAATGACCACCTTTTATGACAAAGTAGAACTGTCACACAGGGATCTCCAAAGAACCAAGAAACAGAAGTTGAAAAGGCAAGCACCTTTCTCCAGAGCCAACAGAAAACTTTCTCTCGAGCTTCATTCTGAATTCAGACCTCTTGCCTTTTAAACAGTGAGAAAACAAAGTTCTATTTGTTAAAGCCATCCACTCGTGGTATTTTTGTTGTATCATTCAGTCAATCTTTTGTGTTTCAAAATAAAATGCTTAACCATTACATCATCAAGATACCTTTCTTCCCATATTTATATTTACTTATCTACTCACTGCTACAGAGGTGGTTTTGACTCATAGTGAATCTCCATCAGGTTCCTGAGGCTCTAACTTTTCATGAGAGGAAAATGTTCATCTTTCTCTTCAGAAGTCGTTGTTGTTGTTAGGTGTCATCGAGTCATAGACGACTCATAGCGACCCTATGAATAAAAGGCCTGAGCACTGTTTCTACATAGAGTTTCTGGAGACAAGCCAATTCAGAAGTCACTGTTGTTGTTGTTATGTGCCGTCGAGTCGCCTGCGACTCATAGCGACCCTATGTACAACAGCCCTAAACTCCGCTCTGTCCTGTGCCAATC